AGGAGCAGTAAGGTGGCTCGGTGGGTAGAGGTCCTTGCTGCCAAGCCTGGTGACCTATGCTCAGTCCCTAGGGTCCACTTGATGAAAGGAGAAAACTGACCCCAGCAAGCTGCCCTCTGACCTCTGCATATCAGCCGCGGCACACAAGTGTCCATGCATATAAACACACACACAACATACATATGTATATAAGTGTAATTTTAAAATCCCCCCCCCCAGGAAGCACCTGGTGCGCCATCAGAGACTGCTGGAGACCAAGTGCCAGGCAGGCCGCACTGCTGGGGTGCATGGTGTGTGGGGACAGAGAACAAGGTCCTCAGGACCTGGAGATCCATGACACATAAAAAGCGAGCTTCGTAGATACTGAGCAGAGGACAGACCAGGAGCGGTGGGTATCTTGGGACATCTGGGAACCTTAAAGTGACTGACAGAGTTGTCAGAGGGTCAGTGTGGGTCCATGGGGGCTGCAGAAGCCCTGGGGCCTGTCAACTGAGCAGGGACGTCCTGGCCTGCTCTGTAGATGTGGTGGAACTTGGCCTGGAGGTTGGACTGACGACCCTGGGGTCCCGGCAAGTCAAGGAAAGGTCTTTGAAGGGTGAGGTTGAGGGATCCAGCAGGCCTACAGGATTTGAATATTCCACGGGTTTGGCAAACTTCCACTATCTTTTTTCTGCTTTCCCAAAATCTGAGGGTCCTCTCCCTTACTCCCCCAGTCCAGACTCCAGTGGGTCTCTGGAGACTGGAGAGCAGGAGAGCTGAGCTGGTCTTGAAACACAAGCTTGCAGAGACCTCCTGGTCTGTGCCAGGCCCGGGCAGACTTCTGGTCTCCCAACCCCTTCTGTCCTCATCGCAGGCCTGGGGAGCTTCCAGAACTTTGGCCGGGTGGAGGGCAGCAGTGGCAAGAATGGAAAATTCCTACTGGATAGATGACACAGGTGGCTCGCAGTCTGGTTCCAACCCTCTGCCTATGATCCTAGGGTGTGATAAAGCTATGTGGGACCCTGAGTCTGGGGTAAAGGATGACAGAGAGGGTGCCGGCTGGGGACCATCCGCTCACTCCAAATAGTGATCTCGTTGGTGGCCAGGCTGGTGACCTAGCTAACACAAGTTGTGGGGATGTTGTAGCAAGGTTAAGAGAGATGGAGAGTGTGGTTGGTGGAGCTGAGTAAGGACTTGGGAGAGGGTAATGGGAGAGACCGAGGAAGGTTTAGAAGCCTTAAAGATAGAGGGTGCCTGGCCTAGTGGTATAGGGCCTACCTATTATCCTACCTACCTAGAGCTGAGGCAGGAAGTTGACAAGTTAAAGACCTGTTTAGGCTACAGTGTGAGTTCAAGTCTAGCCTGTGTAATTTAGCAAGTGTTTGTCTCAAAAACACAAAGATCCAGGTACAGTAGCTCATGCCTATAATTCCCGAACTTGGGAAGATAGGGCAGAAAGATTGTTGAGAATTCCAGGCCAACCTGAACTACATAGTGAGTTCCCGGCCAACATGGGCCACAGTGTGAGACCTGGATTCCAAATTAAAAAAAAAAAATGAAGCTGGGCTGTGGTGGCGCATGCCTTTAATCCCAGCACTTGGGAGGCAGAGGCAGGTGGATCTCTGAGAGTTCGAGACCAGCCTGGTCTATAGGAGCTAGTTCCAGGACAGGCTCCAAAGTTACAGAGAAACCCTGTCTCAAAAAACCAAAACCAAAACCAAACCAAACCAAACCAAACAGACAGACAGACAGAGAGAGAGAAAGAGAGAGAGAGAAAGAGAGAAATTTTTTTAAAAAGTTGAATTACAAATAAAAATAGCCTGATCGTGCAACCATGGAGACTTGAGGTTAGATCCTCGTCACCCACGAAAAGAGCAGGATGAGGTGGCATCTATAACCTGACACTGGAGGACAGAGGCAGGTGAGGTCCAGGGGCTCACTAGCCTTCAGTCTAGATGAATTCAGTGAGAGATGCCATCATAATAAGGTAGAGGGCCAGAAAAATGGCTCGGTGTGTAAAGGAGCCTGCCATCAAGCCCAAGAGTCTGAGTTCCATTCCCAGAACTCACATGGTGGAAAGAGAGAAAAAACTCTCACAATGATGACACATGAAAACCTCCCACCTCCCTCCTCTCTTTCTCACACAGAGTAAATACATTACAATTCATTTGAAAATTTAGAAAATAAGGTGGATAAGTAAAGAAGACATTCAGACATCTGCCTCTGGCCTCCACATGTGCCTGCACAGATGACTGCATGTGTACACACAAGTAAACACGCATCCACCACATGCACACGCCCACAGACGGGCTGGGGTATAGCTCAGTGGTAGCTGGCTAGCACATACGAGACCCTAGTCTCAACCCCCAAATCCCCACAAATCCCCAGCCAAATAAAACCCCAGGTAGCAATGGGGAGGGAGGAGAGACAAGGAGGGAAGCAGCGAGGGGCAGTTGTGGCCCCTCTGCTCACATCTTGCTCTGGGCATTTGTTCTGGTTCAGACGACCAGAGGTGGTGTGACCATCCCCTGTGAGTCAGTCCTGCTGCGCTGGGACAGGAGTCCAAAGCCACCACTTCATTCTGACTCCATCCCTAGCACCGGCCTCAGCATCAGCACTGGCCACACGGCCACTGTCACCACTATGGTCATAACCAGTAGCCTGATTCCTGAGCCCCTAGACACCCTGAACTCCAGTTCCTGGAGGTTTAAGGGCTACTTGGAGGCAGGACTTAAGTTGGACCTCCAAGTATGTCACTTGTAGGTAGAACAGCAGCTCTCAGGGACTTGTCCCCAAGGATAAACCAATAATGCTTGGAGACATTTTGGTGGCTACAACTGGGGGATTGCTCCTGGTACCTAGTGGGCAGATCGGCTACTGCTAGTACCCTACAGTGGACAGAGCCATGCCCAGAACAAATAATTAGTTTCTTCCAAATGTCACTAGTGCCAAGCTTGAGGAACCAACCATCAGGTCCCTGGTCCCTCACTCAAGTCCTCACCCCCAAATGCCCACATTATGCCTTTGGTTCCCAGAGTTGTAATCTTTGTCCCTCCGCGGTGCGGCCACTTTGTTCCCTCTTATCGTGTACCTCCTGGCCGTCCCCGCTGGAATAGAAAGTCAATAAGATGAAAAGTGTTGTGGTCATGATCCAGAAGGAAAAACACACAGAAACCATTGATACACAGAGTCCGGGGGGCCACGCAGCTTGGGGGTCATGCTTACCCAGGGCTGGGAGGCAGGGGCCGGGCTAGCTCCCGGGTATATAAAAGGAAGGAGCCACCACAACGGTCAAGCTCGAAGTGGTTTATCCTGTGAGACCAGCTTTGAGTCAGCATCATGAAGTGGATGGTCGTAGCCTTGCTCTGCCTCCCTCTCTTGGAGGCAGCTTTGGTCAGGTGAGACTGGACATCGACTACAGACTCAGAGAGCCTTAAGTGGGGGCCAGGTGCCTGGAGCCCATGGAGGCCAGACAAGGGTGTCAGGTCCCCTGGGCCTGGAGTTACAGCTGGTTGTGGGTGCTGAGAATTGAACCCTGCTCCTCTGGAAAGGCAAACAGTGCCTTTAACTGCTGAGCCACGTCTACCACGACTACCCAGTCCCTTACTGGGTCTTCATGGTAACCTAGAGATAATTTAAAAGCAGAGTGAGGATTTACAGAGGTTATGGATAATTCCCATGGACTTGAGTATCTATAGTCGGCACCTCATACTTTCTTTTTTCAAATTATGACTCAATTTAGTTTGTGAGTGTATCAAGAGACTGTGAGTGTATCGGTGCCACTGAACACATATGGAGGCCAGAGGAAGACGGCAGGAGTCAGTTCTCTCCTCTGACCACATGGGTTCTAGGAGCTGAACTCAGGTCTACAGGCTTGGCAGCAAGCGTCTTTACCTGCTGAGCCATCGTACCAGGCCTGCCACCCGGTAGTTTCCTGGGTGAAAAGCCAGCTCCTCTCAGAACTTCTGCAAACTCTGCAGAGATGGTTGGTGTGGCTCTTGTGAAAGGGTTAGCAGAGAAACTCTGAAATGTCTTAGGGTCCCAAGAGAATGAGGATTTAAGATGGAGAAAGAAGTAAAAGAAAAATGAATTCTGAGTTGCAGAGCAAGCAGGTGGATCTGCAGAGGTCCCTGGGAGGTGGCAGCAGCAGCTCTCAGATCGTACTTATGGTGGCATGGGGAGGCTGCAGCGCCTAAGTTCCAACTCTGGAATTCCCAAGCCACTTTCCCCAAGGACTGACTGGGGAGGCACAGAGATGTCCCTGGGCTGGAGGGAGGGTTAGTTCCGTTCCCCTCACACAGTGCTGGGTCACCTCTGTCGGTGCTGGGGTGGCAGAGAGCCACCATAGGAAGGAATCCTTTGAGGTGAACCTGCTTTCTCTGGCACCTTTAAAAACGTGCCAGAGTGGCTGGGATGTGGCTCGCTGGGTAGGGAGCTTGTGTGATGCCCTGACTTCGATCCCCAGCTCTCTGTAAACTAGGTGTGGTGGTGCATGCTTGGAAGGCAGAGGCAGAAGGATCAGAAGTTAAAGGCCACTCTTTGATGAGTATTCTGTTTGAGACTAACTAGAGACACATGAGACCCTATCTCAAAAGCATCAACACTGATTCTAACAAGGATAGTTCTCCAAGTCACCCTCCCCTTCTTGGGAGGGAATTCCAGTGTATATCAGAGCAGGAGGCCTGGGTAGCCGGGGTACTTCCATGTGGGGCGAAGGTGGATGTGGCTGAAGTTGATTAGTTTCTAAATCTCGGAACAAACATTAAGAAGGAGTTTGAGAACAAGAGAAAAGGAGAAGAAAAATATGAAGGGAGAAAAAGCTGGAAAGAAATCAAGACAGAAAGATGGGGAGACAGACAGACACAAACAGTGGGCATGTGTGGGGCAGAGCAACAGAGAGACTGAGGTACAGGGGAGAGGGAGGGGGGACAGAGAGAGACAGAGGCCAGAGATGGGGAGGGGGAGGAGTAGAAGGAGAGAGGAAGGAGGGAGGCCCCCACCTGACACACGGCCTTCTGCAGGGTCCCCCTGAAGAGGATGAAGACTATCCGAGAGACCATGAGGGAAAAGGGTGTGCTCAATGACTTCCTGAAAAACCACAAGTATGACCCTGGTCTGAAGTACCGCTTTGGCAACTTCGGTGACTTTAGTGTACTCTACGAGCCTATTGCCTACATGGACGTAAGTCTCAGCACCACTGTCCCTGGGTCCTTCCCTGCGTACCTGTGGAGTTGCGGAGCCCCTGGATCCCTCAGAGCTAACCAGTGCTAACCAGTCTACCCTGTGATATCCCCCTCCCTCATCAGGCTGCCTACTTTGGTGAGATCAGCATCGGAACTCCACCCCAGAACTTCCTGGTCCTTTTCGACACTGGCTCCTCCAACCTGTGGGTGCCTTCTGTCTACTGCCAGAGCGAGGCCTGCAGTGAGTGCTGGGTGGCAGGGAAGGGAGGCTGGGGAAAATCCACCCCTGGAGAAGATGATGGTGTTTTCAGTCACATGACATATCCAAGCCTTGTCAAAGAGGCTGGCCCTGCAGCTGGGTGGCTCTTTTGCCTTTTCTGCTAAGCAGCAAATATACCTTCATCTATTCCAACCCACCTCACCCACTCCATTTTCTTCCATCCCACCCATCCTGGTGACCAGGACAATAGCATCCTTTTTCTTGTGGGTCATCTCCACTCGCTTCACAGCAGTCAGCCCTGCCTTCTATTCACCCCACGTTGGCATCGGGTGTGTCTAAAGGATGGGCTGAAACAACAATGGATGTGGCCTTGTCCTGCCGTACTTTGGTCAGGCAGATAGAATTTGGGCAGACATTTTGTAATACTGCTTTTGTCCCTACCTGAGTCTTGGGATCCTATTATCTCTGGTCTAAGAGGTCTCTCTTTGGCTATATCTCATGCTGCCTCAGGATCTTGGTACGACCAAGTTCTTGAAGGGGTGGAGGCTGTGGGATGGAAGGTACTTAGTGGCCCATTCACTCCTACGGTGAATGAGCAGTCAGTCTGTGCTAGGGCTTTTCTGGGACCTAGGATACGGAGATAAAGTCCAGCCAACCCTGCCCAGAAAGACCAAAGTCCCAGAGCTTACCCTATAAATCACAGGGGGCTTTCAGGTCATGGGTGATTCAAAAATTGGAGTCTCAGCTGATCACCCCTTGCTGTCATGAGTAGGGGATGCTGAAACCCCGGGTTTAAGCACAGGCTGAGGAAGAAGCCCCCTCCACTCAACAATCTGACCTCTGTGTCCTGCCTCCCCTGCAGCCACACACACCCGCTACAACCCTAGCAAGTCCTCTACCTACTACACGGAAGGACAGACCTTCTCCCTGCAGTACGGCACCGGCAGCCTTACCGGCTTCTTTGGCTATGACACTCTGACCGTGAGTGCGGCTTCCTGCCCCTGTGCCGGGGTGGGAGGAAGATAAGGGCCTTAACAAAGCCCCTGAAACATGGTGGAAAAGCTCATAGGATGGGAAGTCAGCACGAGACCTCGTCCATTCACGATGCTGACGCTTGCTGACCGTGGTCGTTTTGTCAAGATTGCTGGGAAAGTCATGATGAACCCTTTGGTTGTGGCCATAGCTCTTCAGAGGAGAGAGGGGTGGGGCAGGGACGATGCAGTGATGCTCCTGATTCTCGGGAGGGAAGATGGCTGCTATCAACTTATGAAGGTGTAGGGGGAACTGAGGCAAGGAGAGAGGAACAAGAGTTGTCTCTGGGGAGCGGTGGGGGATCAACGTAGATCTGTCTGGTGTGTCACCATCTCTCTATTTAACCTCTGATTCAGGTCCAAGGCATTAAGGTCCCCAACCAAGAGTTTGGCCTGAGTGAGAACGAACCCGGCACCAATTTCGTCTACGCAGACTTCGATGGTATCATGGGCCTGGCCTTCCCCGGCCTGTCTGCCGGTGGTGCCACCACTGCCATGCAGGGCTTGTTGAAGGAGGGTGCTCTCTCTCAGCCCCTCTTCGGTGTCTACCTCGGCAGGTAAGCAACCACTTAGGAATTCCTCTGCCTTCCACTGCTCAACTGTGGCTCAGAAGCTCGTGGGCTGGGCGCTTCGCCCACCCCTGTCCCAGCCAGCGCCTTCCTCTCCAGCTCTGGAATTCCACACTCCCCACCCCATATCTGTTTCCTGTCCACTCCTATTTTTTTCAACATTTATTTATTTGTGTTAGAGCAGGGGTCGGGGTACACGGCCCAGCGAACTCGTAGAGGTCAGAGGACACCTTGCAGGAGCTGGTTCTCCTCTTTCACTGTGTGGGTCTCAAAGATGGCGCTCAGCTTGCCAGGCTTGGCCACAAGCACCTTTATTTGCTAACCCAACCTGCCAGCCCATGCAGGTGTTCTTTGTGTTCCTTGGCTGTGGACAAGCTCTCTATTTGCAGCTCAAATCTGGGTGTGGCTTTTATTCTAGCTCTTCCGAGGTCAGCCTCTGTGTGGGCCCCCTCCCCACTGAGGTCCCTCTCTGGCTGGGATTTTCCACTCTGTGTCTCTTTTGTATAGTAATCTCTTGCTTCATCCCCTTTGATCTGCTGTTCCAGCTGGTCCTGGAGTCTTTGGGGCTTGGCCCGGGATTGCCCTCTAACCTCTGTTATCTTCCCAGCAGACACAAGCAGGCCTCGCCTGGACCTCGGGTTTCTCTCTTTTTTTTCTCCAGAGTTAGCCACCTTCTAGAATGTGCATAAACTCACTGTGACTTAAGGGCCTGACTCTGACATTGGCACCTTCACTGTCACCAGCCCTACAGACTTGTTTTTTGCTTCTGCTTACAATCACTCTGCTTGTCACCTTTGAGAGCTCCATCCATCCCTACTTTGCTCCTCCTCCAGTGGGTGGGGCCCACATGTTAGCTGCCTGCTCAGAGCGGGGCTGGGACTCTATGGGACAACATCACTCCAGAGTCTGAAGCACTGGGGATTTTGAGAGGCCCACGCAGGGAGCTCATCTGGGAGAAACACATCCCATCTTCAGCAAGACCCAATCTGAGGGAAACAGACTGTCCACAGGGAGCCCCAGTCTGAGGGGACCTGTCCTCGGGGAGCCCCAGTCTGAGGGGACCTGTCCGCAGGGAGCCTCAATGTGAAGTGAGGTGGGGGGGGCTGTTTTCTGAAGATGGCTAACTCACCACAGGATGCTGTTCATTCCTTCTCCTTCCTTTTGTCTTCTGTAGCCAGGAGGGATCTAACGGTGGACAGATCGTTTTTGGAGGTGTGGACAAGAACCTCTACACTGGGGAGCTCACCTGGATTCCTGTCACCCAGGATCTCTACTGGCAGATTAGCATTGACGAGTGAGTCTGTGGTGGGATCTTGGGGCGTGTAGCCTTCTCTGCTTGCACCTCCAAACACTATATTCCGTCCATTCATCCGGGCACCGCTGGTGGGGAGAGGACTTTAAGATAAGCCATCCCCCGGAGTCACAGCTAACCTATGCAGGAGCATCAGAGTCGAGCTGAATCTGGAGAAGAGGGGCGACACATAAAATCTCAATCATGGGGTCCCCTGTAGTCCAACGCCACAGGTTAGAAACTGAGTGTGTTTCAAAGTCCTTGCAGCAGCCAGCGACTCTGGCTTTCACTGTGTCTACAGCCTTCCTTGAAACGTTGGAAGTAGGTTCAATGACCATTCATATGGCTTTGACGAGACTCTAGGCTGATATGAGGTGGAGTCCCCTTACCTTCCTCAAGAATGGCTTGTCTCTGTGCAGCCACCGGTGTCACTGTGGTAGGAGGCCCCCTCTGCCCGCCCCGAACAGTGGGAACTGAGGCTGCCATCTTCTTACCATTCAGCTTCCTTATTGGTGGAACCACCTCTGGCTGGTGCTCCCAGGGCTGCCAAGGCATTGTAGACACTGGCACCTCTCTCCTCACCATGCCCTCTCAGTACCTGAGTGACTTTCTGCAGACCATTGGAGCTGAGGAAGAATATGGAGAGGTGAGTACGGTAGGAAGGGCTCCCCCTTCCTCAGGAATGGCCATCTTATGGGGTGGCAGGACTGTGTGTGCCACTTGCAGCTTCTCTTTGGGAAATCAAAGCTAGCTGAATTCTCAGCCTCCAGGCTTTTAGCTACTGAGGGTGCTGGCGGGTAGTGCCCTGGAGGCTGGAGCTGAGGAAGTAAGGCAAAGCAAGACTCTCTTCTGGGCTGAAGTTATCTTGGAATATGGATTAAACACTACCTGGCCTTTAGGGTTAGAGGAAATCACTAGAAAGCAGGACCAAGCAGATGAGAGACAAGGGACAGCTCTGTGGTTCACATGTCCTCACCCTCACAGGGTCAGGCTCTCTCCTGCTCTCTCCATCCTAAGGCCAGTGGGGAGTTTGACTACTGAAGACATTCTCCTAATTTTCGGGAAACTGAATGGGTTCCATGTTCTACAGAAATGTATGTTAAAGGACACTTGCAGAAGATGGGCAACAATCCACACTGTCTCTCAGAGTGGAAATCTGGTCAGGAGCAAAGCTTTAGGGTAGTGGGCTCCTCAGGGTTCCTCCAACCTCTCCCCATCTGTGCCAGTGCTACCGAATGTTACTCGTAGGTGAGTCAGCATTGCCTTGGAGCTGTTCTCCCCTCCCCCATCCAAAGCAGACTGGGTGTGGATCTAGGGTTTAGGGTGCAAGGTGGCAGGCGTGATGGGGTACAGGCCTAGGGAGCTGAGGTGGCAGGCATGTTGGACACTGTTCTCAGTGAGACGTATCGGCATGGGCCGTGTTCCTTTCCGCAGTATTTTGTGAGCTGTGACAGCGTCAGTAGCCTGCCTACCTTCAACTTTGTTCTCAACGGTGTCGAGTTCCCTCTGTCACCCTCTTCCTACATCCTCCAGGTAAGGCCTAGTTCCTATGGGCAGAACCGCTGGGATCTAGAGTGCGTCTAGAACAGCTATGCAGAGGTTTGAGGCTTAACTGTCAGGCTGACCTGTTGCAGGCTGGAAGCAAGGGGAGGGTAGTCTGAGGAGGAAGCCCTCCACTCCGTAGAACCATGGCAACCTGAAGTCAGCTATTGGGGAAAGAGCACCCTCTCTCCCCGAGCCCCAACAGCCCTTGCTGTCGAGGGGCAGCTGTCCCATGAGCCCCTGGGCAGTCTTTGAGTCATTCAGTTGTTGAAGTTCAGTTCGCCTGTGAGCATGTGAGAGAATGCTGTCTTCTCTTGAACAGGAGGATGGCTACTGCATGGTGGGCCTTGAGAGCACCCCTCTGACCTCTGAAGATGGCCAGCCCTTCTGGATCCTTGGGGATGTCTTCCTCAGGTCTTACTATGCCGTCTTTGACATGGGCAATAAGAAGGTGGGCTTTGCCACTGCTGTCTAGACATGCCATCTAGACCCTGTGCCCTTCGTCCTCTCAACCTCCCCCAACTTGTGAGGGGTACCTTCTGTCCTTGCCCTCTGCTTCCAGCCTTCCCTTTCTGTACCCGACACTTTCTCTGATAATAAATAGTTCTTCACATTGAACAGCCTGTTGGGTCTTTTGTATGGGATGTGTGGGGTGGGGAGCTGGGTAAAGTTGTGACTCAGACTACTGGGTCTTCGGGACTGTGGGAGTGGGGATCATGGCAAGTTCCACTTTGACTGACCTCAGTGGCCACAAGGTTTCCCGGTGGGTCACTGAGATGCTAAGCGAAGTAGAGTTTGAAGCCAGGCTTGGACATAGGCTGTACCCTTCAGAGTTTAGATCCCCTTCACAGATTCCCTCTGAAGACTGGTGATGGAAGCAGGACTTGTATGCCAGGCAAATGGGAAATACCCAGCTGAACCCACACCCCAGACTCCACCTGGACCTCAAGGCCACGGGAATGACCCCTAGCAACGAGCCTATTTGTCTCTTCAACTTTGAATCAATTTTGACTAGAATTTTCTGAAGGATGTTGTACCCATGTTCATTTCTAACAGTTATGGGTCCTTGAGGAAGTAAGATGCTCAGTTCTAGGAAGGCCGCAGAAGGTTGAGGCTGAGTTAAAAGTGGCCGTATTTTCACCCAACTCCTAAATCCGAGGATTTGTGTTTGAAGGAGGGAGGGCTGGCCAGCTCTTTCCCTGGCTTTCTCTGGCCAGCTCAGTTAGAGGTCTGTTGCTCTAGACTTTATTCTTGCACATCCTTAGCAGTTTCTCTGAAAGTCCCAGAAATATGGGGTCACATGATGGGGGGAAGAGGAGGAAGAAGAGGAAGAAAATAAAGGGTAAGGTGGAGGGAGAGCGGTAGGGGGGAAGAAAAGGGCAGGAGGTGTGGAGAAAAGGAGGCAGTGGGAGAAGGAGGAAAGAAAAAAGAGGAAAGAAAGCAAAGAATGTTATCTTAGTGCTCTGAGCTTCTGTTCGGAGGAAGAGACAAGTGAGGAGACTGGAAAGCTTCTGAACAGTAAGATGGCGGTGATGTGGTTCCATCTTATACTTACAGGCAGGCACAAAGGGCAGGATCCAAACTGAGACAGGATAGAAGGGGAAATTATGGGACTTGAGAGGAGAAGGTATCCTCCTCATTCCGCAGTCTGGATGAAGTCTTCTCGACTGAGAATCGTGACTTTAGGACAATGAACATCTCATGTGAGGGCTGCCAACGCAGAGGTCATCTCATTAAGCACTTAAACAAACAATCCAGAGTGGAGACACTCTTGGAAAGCAGAGGCAGGCAGATCTCTGTGAGTTCGAGGGCAGCATAATCCACTAGTGAATTCTGAGTCAGCTAGGGTTATTTGGTGAGTCCCTGTTTCAACAAAATAAAACAATGGTAAACACAACAATAAGCCAGGCTTAAGGCCTGAGCTTGTGTTTCCCCAAGGAAAGCCTCAGCTTTCCCCCAGACAGTTTGGGAAGCTGACAAGTAAGACTGTTTTGTTTACAGTTAAGATAGCCTCACTTCCTGTATGATCTTTAACCTGGTCAATTACACACTATCAGGTCCACCCCGGGAAACATCCTGTGATCTTACTTAAGTTTCTCAGCAGGTACTCTGAAGATAACTTCAGAGGTCACCAAAACAAGAAAGCTGGCCATTGTAAAAAACAATGAGAAGCCCACACCCAGTTTCTCTGGTGGGCCTATCCTTTCCACTATCCCTGATTGCCTTTCTCTTAACCTCTGTGTTTTAAATATATATTTAAAAATATATTTTTAAGTCTGGCAGTGGTGGCACAGGTCTTTAATCTCAGCACTTGGGAGGCAGAGTAGAAGGATCTCTGTGAGTCTGAGGCCAGCCTGGACTACAGAGTGAGTTCCAGGACAGCTAAGGCTATACAAAGAACTCCTGTTAACAAACAACAACAACAACAACAATATATATGTTATTTTTATACATATATATATTTAAATAAACTACACTTCTGCTTCATTCTAGCTTGTCGTGAAATGATAATAATCAATAGAACAGCAATTATTATTATTATTTAACAAAATGGTCAAAAGTCTCTCAGTGGAGGTTCCTAAAGGATAAGGTAACTCCTCAGTCTGCTGCTGGCAATCCTGAGAGTGACGACGACCTTCGCATAAACCAGAAAGGACCGCCTGGGGCCCTCTATCTTTCTCACCTTCCTGGAACAGAAGCTTGGTATTGGTCCTTTCACAAGATGTCATAATGTAGTCCTACCTCGGGACACCACTGATAGAGAAGAGAAATAAAATCTGAAAAGGGAAAAAGGGGACAGACTTTTAAAGTCAAAAGTTGACTGTTTGGGAACCCCGGCCAGCAGAGTAAAACTTCAAATCCCGGCGAGCCCCGCGCGGCTGCGGCAGGGACTACGTTTCCCAGCGGGCGCCGCGGGAGGCCTCCGGGGGCGGTCCGCAGGGGGCGGGTGCTGCCCTCTGCCGGGCTCAGCGGGA